TATATATATACACATATACATACATACATATATACATATACATACATATATACATACACACACACAGTATTTTTATTTTTTTTTATAAAATACATTATGGTTTTATATATTTTATAAAGTCATATTATTTTATTATAATTGTTTAATAAGTTTTTCACCTAATATATATGTTTTATTTCAGCTTTCTTTCAATTATTGAATTTTTTTTAAATAGTTTTAGCTCACAATATCAATACTGATAATGTGGACAAGTGTAACAATACACAGTAAGAAATACATTCAATTTAATACTAAAAAATGAAAATACTAGACAGGGACGTTTTTGTCCAGAAAAACATTTCTAAATGATGATGAAAACATCAATTTAACACAATTTTCAGTTTTAAAGCAACTCTCTAAAATAGACCATTTGAACTGATTCAAAGGAAAGAATCAAACTTCATGATGCAAAAGCTCTTTTTGTTACTTTTTAAATTTTAAAACAGACTCTATTCAGAATTCATGAGACGAGTAAAGATTGCGAGACTAGTCTTATGACAGTGTGTGGGCATTAAAATCTGTATTGTGTTGTATGCTCTATTTTATATCACCAGTAATATAATTTTGAATATATCATACATATACAATATAATATATATATCCGGCCCTAGTTCACAGCACAACTTGTATAATAAATTCAGTGACGTTATGTTAGAGCTCAGGTGGTCAACACAATTAGGTATGAATTGTTGATGTGTTTTTCATAGCCTAAACGGATAAACACTACTGTCCTGGCTTAGAAAAATTGTTGGTAATTACCATTTCTAAAAAAAATTAAAGGTTCTCTCTTGTGCCCAATAACACAATTTCACAAATACAATCATGCTTAAGCAAGAACATATTGGCTGTCTGCAAGAAGAACATTATGGCTTTATGTCACAACTGACAATATCAAAAAACAGTGAAGTTACAGCAATACATCTAGCAATAAAACAATATTTTAACCTTTGCACCATGATACTAGGGGTGCTGTGGGTGATTGCAAGGCGTTATTTTTCTGGCCCAAGTCAAAAGCCCACAACAAGAGACTATGATCTTCTGGTCCTCTGATTTAGATCCTATCCTTCAGTGCCAGTCAATGGGATAAAATTGGATGCTCAAATGTGAACCACCTCCTCAACAAGCAGCATGATTTTATGACCCTAGCACATAATGTTATGAACAACCACCAATAATAAACTCAAAGCCACCACAAATACACTACAAGATCTCTGTGCCTTGCATAAGTTTCGTACTTAAAGTACGTCAAACTGCCTCTTTTTTTTCTTCTTTCCTTACAAAAACATCCTGTTTTGGCACATTTTGAGAAGACTTGCATGACCTATTCAAAAACAGCAACGTGGCCAGGGACATCCGTGGAGGACAGAGGGAGAGAACAAGGAGGAAAGCCCCACTCCAGCTCCACGCACAGCAGGTCTGGAGATCTCATCTGACAGACAGGGGTGTTAGGTCAGAAAATCCCAATAGAGAAGAATGCAGACATCTGCTAGAGTGATCTAGCAAATTCAGTTTTTACTTTTATACAACGGCTTTAAATGTATTCAGTCATATTTATGACAAATACACTACCATTCAAAAGTTTTGTCAATATGATTCTGTATGATCAGTATGATTTAAAAACATTTTTTTATACTTTTATTCAGCAAGGATGCATTAGACTGATCCAATGCATCATTAAAGTCCTTTTAAATAATAATAATAAAAAATATATATATTTCAAATAAATCCTGTTATTTTTAACTTTCTATTCATCAAAGAATCCAGAAACAAGTATCGCGGTTTCCACAAAAATATTAAGGAGCACAACTGTTTTCAACATTGCTAATAAGAAGAAATGCTAATTTGGCAGCAAATCAGCATATTAGAATGATTTCTGAATGATCATGTGACACTGAAGACTGGAGTAAGCATGCTGAAAATAATGAATAAAAGAATAAATTAACTACATTTTATGATATAGTTAACGGTTGTTTTAAATTGTAATAAAATTTCACAATATTACTGTTTTTATTGTATGCAGCTTTGGTGAGTATATAAGACTTCTTTCAAAAACATTATAAAGTCTTGCTGACCCACACATTTGAACAGTAGTGTCACTATTTTAAGTATTTTGTTTTTGCAATGATGTCAAACTTATTTGTTATGAATTATTACTACATAATTAATATAAATGAAACATTTGGAGGTAGAATAGGCCACAACTATATTGTGATTTACATAGCACTATCGTAATATATTATTACTCATAACCTGATTATTACTCGTGGCATATAAGATGTTGGTTATATAATAACTACATTCACCTATTCATTAATTCGGTAACACTTTACAATACAGTTCATTAGTTAACTACTTCAGTTAATATGAACTAAGAATTAACAATACAAAACAGTATTTATTCATCTTAGTTAATATTAATTTGAACATTTACTAATGCATTATTAAAATCTAAAGTTGTGTTTGTTAGCATTAGTTAATGCACTGTGAACTAACGTTAACTAACAATGAACAAACAAAGATGTATAAATACTGTAATAAATGTATTGTTCATTGTTTGTTCATGTTAGTTAATACATTAACTAATGTTAACAAATGACAACTTATTGTAAAGCGTAACCATTAATTTGAATTATTTATACCGGTATAGGAGAGACAGCAGCGGCTGGAGGGGTTTTGATGGGACTGGGACTGAGGGGTGTTCTGGAAATAGCGGCAGCGGCAGCAACAGCAGCGTCGGCAGGACTGGCTGAAACAGGACCTGTATATAGAGAAACAGATGGACAAACTGACAGTTTACGTGACTTATAAAAGAAAAGAAAAAAAAAAAAAACGTTTTTATACATTTGCATTCCAACATATCAGATTGCTAATTTGTCATTTAAAGGTGCAGTGTGTACATTTTAGCGGCATCTAGTGGTGAGATTGCGAATTGGGTAAATTAAGGAATTATATTTACTTAATTATTTAATAAATCGATGTTATTGCGAATATTAATGTACTTGTTCATCATTGGTCAGCGTTTTATTCGCAAGAACAACAAAGTGACGAAACGCGCTGTGTAGAGCAGTTTGTTCGTTTAGGGCTACTGTAGAAACATGGTGGCGACTTCCATGTAAGGGGACCCGCGGTGTATGTAGATATAAATTGCTCAATCTAAGGTAATAAAAACATTAAGTAAGGACCTCTGAAAACATAGTTATGTATATTATACTGCATTTCTGTCAATAGATCAATGTAAATATTACACACTGCACCTTTAAATCAGGTTTTTAATCAAAAGCAACTTGTAGTACACTTAGTTGCAGTGTAAACCCCTTGGGCACCCTTACAGCAAAATGGCCCAATTGTCCTTGTTAGGTTCGAACAACCTACAACCTTCTAGCAACCAGTATAGATTTATAAACACCAGGACACAACACCCTAAATGCATCTTCAGAAATCTGCATGAATTTATGAACCTTGCGAGGCGCTGTCAAAGCTCTTGATGAGTGTTTTGACAGTGGGTGAAGGTTCAGAGGAAGTGGAGGAACGTCGGCTCAGGCCCATCCCCTGCCTCAGCACAGCCAAGTCTCTTTCTACGGCGTTCATATAATTAAACACACGGCCACGCTCCTCTTCCTGCCTGTAATGCGAGAGACACAAATCTCCAGCATATGCAAATATTTGCACATACAAAAACAATCACACAACCTGTGTCAACATCCCTGTTGTCACAAGACATTGCATTGTAAATTTACATTACATCTCTTACTTTCTGCTCTTTTGTTCATCCAGCTCTTTGTTCATCTTCTCATTTTTCTCCTGAGCTTCCTGCAGACGGCGCCACAGGTCTCCGATCTCCTCCTGAGCTTCTGTCTTGATGTCGTTGGCGATGATGACAGCTGTTTGCAGATCAGCTTGGAACTGACGCCACTCGGCTGATTCCTCCTGTGAGTGACAGGTGTCAGTTGGAAAATGGAAGAATCAATCAATCAATAAATGGTATGATAAATGAAACAAACAAATAAAAAGGGAAAACGTACCCGCAATTTTCGGTGAAGAACCTTAATCTCCTTCTCCATGTCATATTTCTGATCATGAAGCTTTTTGATGGAATCTAAAGTGAAAAAAATGACAGAAATAAATATAGATTTATAAAGAAAGTTAAAATATCATTAATGTGTTGCTGAAAGTTCATTTGAATCAAATACCTCATTTTTATACATTTAATCTTTTCATTCTGATAAAATACTATAAACTATTTTGTATGTAACATGATCAAGTACTTGACATTAAAAATGAAAGCTAAAGAAATGTCAAAATAATGTCTGTCTATGGTCTACTCTGATAGCTCAATGACGCCTCTATGTGGACAGAAGCATGAATAACCACAAGAGAATGAAAATATGTGTGTGTGTGTGTGTATATATGCATGTACTGTATGTGTGTGTAAATTAAATATAGAGCCATAGTGACCATTTTGTCGCATCACTTACTCTCCAGGTCAGAAATGATGAGGTTGTCATGAAGCTTAACAGCACGATGCTGCTCGACTTCATCCTCCAGCTCAAAGATGGTCTCCTTCATGTCAGCGATCTCGGTGTCCTTCTCCTCTAGCTCAGAGCACTGCTGCTCCAGGAGCCGCTTCTGCTCTGCTAACTGTGCCTGGACATCGTCACGAAACGCTCGGAACTCACCCTCAAGCTTTAGTGAACACAAAGATACACATTACACATTAGTAGGGATACATGTTGGAAAATGTACAGCACACTGCTACTACTTAACCTGGAGGTTCAATATCTGTGCTTTAAGCATATTCTAATGCTACAACCTGTTCAAAACTTCACAACACAATGCCAGGCAATTATTATATACCTGCAAGAAGTTGAAATTTCATCTAGCTACATAGCTAATATGCTAATACTATGTTAAGGCATGGTGAAGACTGACACGAAAGAGAATAAATTGTTGAATAAAGTTTTTTTTAAGTCGTTTTTTATTTCTTTGCACACATAAACATTCTCGTAGCTTCATAAAATTAAGGTTGAACCACTGATGTCACATGGACTATTTTAACAATGTCCTCACTACCTTTCTGGACCTTGAACGTGTCCATTGCGTTGCTGTCTATACAGGGCCAGCAAGCTCTCAAATTTCATCAAATATATCTTAATTTGTGTTCCGAAGATGAGCGAAGGACTTACGGGTTTGGAACGACATGAGAGTGAGTAATTAATGACAGAATTTACATTTTTGGGTGAACTATCCCTTTAAGACAACTTAAAGGTGACATATTATGAAAATCTGACTTTTCCAGGTTTTAAGTGCTATAATCAGGTCCCCAGTGCATCTACCAACCAAGGAAACCAGAAAAAGATTAACCCAATCACTTTGTTTAGGTAAGCCTTTTTCTGCAAGCGTCTGAGAAAACGAGCGCATCTGATTTCGCTCCCTTGGTGACGTGGCAAAGGGATCTCATTATAATATTACCGCCCCTTAATAAAGTTTGAGCAAAACATGCTAACTGTTCTGTCTTTGGACAGACGAGCACAGAACACTATTTAGAGTCCCAGCCTCAGAGGAGACAACAGAGCAGTGGATTTATTTAGGCTACTGTACATTGCTGCTGCCACACAGATCTAAAATAAACAAGCGATTTATTTCCCAGCTGTTTACCTTCACAGACATAACCGACTGTTTTTGTAACTCGTGTGTTTTTAACGTAAACTTGTGTGTGAATGAGAACTTAGTTTAGTACTCACATGCTGTGACAGCAGCTTTCTGTCCGTGTGCTTCAGATGTGTGCGCGCAGAAAACCTTATATCTGAAGTTTAAACTCACATGGTTTAAAACGCATGATTTCAGCGCGATAAACATGATAATCAGAACCAAAACAGATGTTTTTAGCAGATATGAGCTGTAAAGGTGCAAGCTCTATTCTGGAAAAGGGGGCAGGGAGCAGCAGCTCATTTGCATTTAAAGACACAAGCCCGAAAAACAGCTTGTTTCTGCTTCCACTCAAAATAGGCATTTTCAAAATTATATAATAAATGATCTGTGGAGTATTTTGAGCTGAAACTTCACAGACACATTCTGGGGACACCAGAGACTTATATTACATATTGTAAAAAGGGGCATAATATGTCACCTTTAAGATAATCAAAGGTATGAGTTATTGGAGTATGTTTGTAAGTTTCACCTTGCTAATTGCCTCTTGGAGCTGGGCAGCTTCACTGCGCGTGTGTCCCAGTTCCTTTTTTAACTGAGCTGCTTTGGCCTCTGCTCGCTCTTTGTCTAATCTCTCACTGTCCAGCAGGTGGCGTATATCTGTCTTGTCCCCTGCGTTGTGGATGGAGAGGAGCTGGGCCACTCTCTGCCTCTCTTGCTCAAGTTGGATTCTGCAGCGATTCAACTTCACCTGCTCCCCTTCGGAAACCACCCTCAGCGTTTCCAACTCCGCTTTAGCGAATGCCCGTTCCCTCCGCTCCATTTCCACAGCTCTCTCCGCCACATGGACACGCTCCTTCAATGCCGCCATCAGGCCTTGGGCTTCTGCATTCTCCTGTTCTGCCATCTTGAGTGCACTGCTTAGCTGTTGCTGAACGCCCAGCAACTGCTCCCGCTCAAAATGCGAGCCCTCGTTCAGCTCGGCATAGCGCCTTTCCAGCTCCACGTATCGGCTGCTTTTGGCATCTTCATCATCCTTGGCGTAGGCCACCCGATGCTCGTCAAGAAGGCCTCGGAAGTAGTCCAGTTGTCTTCCGTACAGTTCCAGACGCTCCTCTTGTTGACAGAGGGAGTCAACCAGAATGGCACGCTCCTCACCAAGGCGTTCATTCTCTGTGGTCAGCTCTTGCGTGATCTGCTGCAGGTCAGCAAGCTCCTGCAGAGTGGCCTGGAGTTCTTCTGCTGTGCTGTGCTGGTTCTCCTCCATTTGATGGATGCGCTCAGTCAGGCAGGCCACGGAAACCTCACTGGTGTTCCCGCTGCTGCCCCTGCGGGAATGTTCCCGGCTCGGTGGCCCTCCCTCTGATTCAGAAGAGGATCCACATCCAGAGGGCGCATCCAGGGCATCATCGCTGGAGGTGATCGGCTGGTAGGCCTCACTGCACTCACTGTCCAGTGCATCAGGAGAGTATACACTTCTCTTTTCTGAAAGCAGGTCCTCGGTAGAGCCTTGGACAGAGCCTTCTGCAGAAGATGCACGCATACCACCCCCACTGTTTTCGCTATGACCTCCACTGCCTCCACCAGATACAGGCTCAGGACTAAAGGACGGGCAGCGCAGACCTTTGTCAGGGCTGTCTAGACGATGCTCCAGAGAGAAGCCGAGAGCATTGAGACGATCCTTCAGCATCCGGTTTTCACTCTTCAGCATATTTAGCTCATCAAGGATGCCCTGGTTCTGGTCTTGAAGGAGGAGCAGAGTGGACTCCACATCTGTGGCACTGATCACAGGAGAAACCTCTTTCTCCTGAGGCTGCTTGGTCTCTTGAGATGCTTGTTCTGCATCAGGGGCCTCAAGTTCTTCCAGACCAAGCTGGGCTCTCATACCTCTAAGTTCAGAGCGGAGATGGATGATCTCCAGGTCTTTGCTCTTGGCTAAGCCCAGCAGGTCTTTCACTTGGCACTCCAGCACTGCTTTATGGCTTATCTGGCTGTCTGAGCGAGATTTGCTCATCCGAGAATCAGTCTCAGCTACGGTACGGCATCGCGATCGCTTCTGAGGCATGGCATCGGTGGGTCCGGCAAGCTTTTTGGCAACACTAGTTCTGGAACGTTCTCGCAAGTTCTCTCGGGTCGTGCCTGAATCCTTCGCTGTGGATGACAAGGCACGCCTTCCTGAAAGACCTACAGGAGATAGAAATGGGTATAAGCAGAAATATTTCCATAACCAAATAACTGTTATGGATATTTCAGTAGCTGTGGGCTTCAAAGTACTTCTGCAACAAACAAAACACTTCACCTTAAACATCTTCAGAACCAAGGCAATGCTTAGCGCTACCTGAACTGGTCTTGGACCTGGTCTCAGTGCTGCTGGTGTTCTGAAAGGAGCTTCCTCTCTTGTTTCTAACAGTAGTGTTACTGTTGCAAACGGATAATGGTCCACTTCCTGCACTCACCGCTGGGAGATCATCATTGCTCTTTGCCTGGTTAGCACGCAAAACATTAAGTTAATGATCTGCTACAGACAAATCATAATGCAACACAAAGCTAAATTCTTAGCTGGCACTTGGTTCAATACATTCATAATGATTAAATACAAATGTTTCAGCTTCCTCCACATTAAACAGTTACCTTAGACAGTGGAGCTGAACTCTGGGTTTTGTTCGTCATCTTGCCACCTGTGCCCATATTGCCGTTTCCCTCAGGTCTGCCTGGGGCTTTAGTGCCCGCTGAGGTTCTGGAGGTCGCGGCCGTGGGCTTGGTCGCCTTTTTCATGCTTGGCTCCAGGTTGTTGATACATTTACAGCGTAATCTAAATGAATGAAAACGGCCAATGAGTCATTTGGACATTACACGCATTTAAGTGGACCAACAAAAAACGCAGTTAATACTGAATGACAATTTCAGATAGCCCACTCCTTCAGAAAATACAGAACAGTTTCTGAACAGAATGGCATGCAGTTCTAATTAAACCCAGCCGTAGAAAAACTGCATCACAAAGACATCGCTACCACATTTTTTTCTTCAAACCTTTCGTTTTGTCCTGTAGCATTCAATCATGCAGAGCTTTAATATAATAAGCTTAAATATCTCATTACCTTACTCCAGCACTGGTAATTTTCCTTGGGGAACACATTGTGTACAAGTCTATGTTTTGCGTGGAGATAGTTGGAATGTAACATTACGGTCCCCGAGGACTCTATTTATGCAGCTTCACACACACTGTAAACTCAGACACATTAGGGGAAAACAGTCATTGGTCAGTGTTTGAATGCACACAAAACTGTGTGATTGGAGGAGGGTCAGAAGAGGATGGAACTGCCTTTCTTATCACATCATCATGGGTGGAGGCCAAACCCGTTGGAAGAGCTGACCAACTGCGTCTAGCCTTAAAAGGCTTGAAAGTCCAGAGCAGCAGCGCTAGGCCTGAGGCTAGAAAAAAACACAACAGCTATACTAGAACTACTAGAAATCAAAAACCAGAGACTTCACCGCAATGCTCATGCAGCTAGTGAACTCTGACCTTTTTCTTGCCCTTATGTGGCCTCTCTTTGCAAATTGAAACTATGGCGATTTGGATACTTTGATGGCAAACAGATGAGGCATGCCCAGATAGACACAAGCCTAAACACCCCTATTTTCCCCGCAAGCCTTTTAAGTTGATATGCTTGAACAGAAGTCATAACAAAAAGCACCACGCCCAACTGCAGACTACAACTCACAGTCCTGATATTTAATGAAAGAATATGAAGCCAACCCTGATGGTATTACAAAATGTAACCATCTTTAAATTCACTGAACTGTGCTGAAATTAAACACAAATAAATTAGAATAAGAATTAAAATAAGTCTTATTTTATTATGTCTTCAATAATAGTGCGTAAAGAAAGAAAAAAACAAATATTCCATTATGAGCGTTTCTTAAAGGGATCAATCACCTAAAAATAAACATTCTGTCAGAATGTACTCAACCTCACAATGTTCCAAATCTGTATGATTTTCTTTTAGTGCGGTCAAATCGATTAATCGCATACAAAATAAAAGCTTGTTTACATAATATGTGTGTGTGAACTGTGTATATTCATATGTATATATATATATATATATATATATATATATATATATAATACAAACACATTAATGTGTATATAACAAATATTTAGATGTATATACAGTACATATTCATTCTCATATATATATATATGATTCATATTATACATAAAAATTACATATATCTTAAATATATACACACATGTATGTGTATTTACACATGCATATAAATATACACAGTACACACACATTTATTGTGAATTTTGGATGCAATTAATTGATTAATTGATTTAACTTTCTTACTTCTGTGGAACATTAAAAATTGCATTTTGAAAACTGTGATGTTTTTTGGCCATACAGTGGAAATCAAATGGTAGCGAAACGGTTTGGTTACCAGCATTCCTCAAAATATCTTCTTTTGTGTTCCACTGAAAAAAGAAAGTCATATGGATTTGGAATGACATGAGGGTGAGTAAATGATGACAAAAATGATATTTTTAACAAGCATTAGCAATGAAGCTGAGCATTACGGTCATTTTCTTCAAGTGCATCTCGGAAGGAAACTGTAAAATCTTAAAAGTTATTGGACAAACCTTGAGGGAAAAGAAAGACAATATGCAGTAAAATTCTTCAGCTGAGCAGAGTTTACTGCCCGAGTTAACTTCCCACTTTAGAGGTCACTGCAGGCAACTTTCTGTCAAACCCAAAACATTCCATCCAAACTTGATTTCAGTGCTCGATATGCAAACAGCTACCGGGCATTTGCACAAATCTGAGTGTGCTGAACCGCAGCGCCACAACACTTCTAAAAATCATTCAAAAGCACAGAACCTCAAACATGAGGGACCACACAAGCAAATTCATATCGGGTAACAGGACAAACTCAATGATCGCCCGTGGATTCTGAGCAGAGAGCGCAAACTTAAAATTGAGTCTTTAAAATGAAAACAATATTGAATATTTCAGGTTACAACATCCTGACATGTATCACACACACTCTAGGACTCCAAAGAATTATAGAAAAAAGTATATTTACAGGGTATATACAGGAATCATGGAGTTACATTTAATACCTTTTTTAAGACTCTTTCCATACATTTTAAGACCTCATCGCCACTCCAAGTTTTAACCGGTTACATCGGCAACACTTTAACTTACATTTACTATATATTGATTGTAAGAATTGTAAGAACCTAAACAGACTTACTTTGTGATAACTCCTTATCAATACAACATTATTCAGAAGTTGGGAATGAAGCACAAAATAATTAATTGAGTGACTAACCAATGCAACCCATGAAACAAGAATTAGACCAATAAACAAAACCACTGACAAAACTTATTGAGGAGGGAAAATAAAGCTCTCCAAGCTAACGGGGCAATGAATTCACACAGTATATTCAAAAGATGTATTTGTCATATCAACTCAAACCATAGCTGTTTTGTGGAACACTTCTCATGACAAACATCTGACTGATCAGAGGGTCAAAAGTAAGGAGAGATAACTGACAAGATGTTGGGGGATTTGCTCCTCAACAGATCCCGAGTTCATTGACAAATATCTTTTATCGTAACATGTGCTCCCTTTACACAGTGCGCGCGCGATCGCAAAAATCGAAAGTGAACTACGACTGCGAGCTCATTCAAAGGGGATTTAAATACCCCACATATTGATAGCGGTGCTCTGATGCGCGAAAATTATATACAATTAGGGCTCGGTTCTGTGATCAGCAGTAAATCTCCATCCAAAGGCCAGAGGGCGCTCTTGCGCTGAAGATTCAACTGCTTTCATTGATTCAACGTGACTAATAAACACAAGACTACGGCAATATACAGTTTATCCGAGTTCTTATTATTATAATTTTCATTCAAATAAAGTACATTTATAATGCAATGCCTTTATTTATTTTTAGTTTTGGCTGAAATAGGTTATTGACTGAAACAATTTCCAATGAAGTGCGTCAGCGGTTTGATTTAGATTTCTGTGTTTTGGTAAAAAAAAAAAACATTTTGATGCATCACTAATAAAGACAAATGTATTTTTTTCCTCTAGTATAACACACACTAATGAATCATTCACAATAAGTCCAGGAACATTTATTATGAAAGCAAATCGATCGGTTAGAGAGGATTAGCAAAAGGCCACACATTTTGAAAGTTAAACTTGACACGCTGAATCTCGGCACTTAAAACGCATGACTAACCAATCACTGCTAAGCTGAGGAAAGTGCCGAGTTCTGAATCCCAAAGCAATAAAAGTGACAGATTAACCTGTTACGGACCAAGAAAAATATTCCTCAGGTGGTGGTCCCCTAAATAAGAAATGAAGAAAATTTCATACAGTACTTAACGCAGCCCAATTCATCAGCAAAGTATTTTTTGCCAGAAACGCTCGATAAATAAGCTAAGCAAAGTAAGTTACTTTTACAAAAAGTAAAAAATATATATATATATATTCTACTGCAATCAATCGTTCATAACCAGCTGAGGGTTTGCCATTATCCATATACTCTACCCTGAAGCACTCCCCAAAATGCGTTGGATGTCTGGGGGCGCAGGGTTGACTGGAATGTGCTGCTGCCTGCTAGAATCAATTCAAACCAGCTCATCAGATGCCTTCATGAGAAAAAGCTATGGATGCCATAGACTCAGCAGAGCCCATTCCAAACAACAGTAAAGGAAATTCTCTTGCCATTAATGACACATTCTGGATTTTTTTTTTGTTAAATAATTACCATTACGATACAGTCTTCTTATTAACTGTATATATAGAGAGTCTACATAAAATAATTTTGAGAAGTTAACATGCCATGTGGCGTGACATGCAATGCAATAAATATCTTTTCATAAAACACATCAACATGAGACATTTACCAGAAGTCCTCTGATGTGGGACAGGTCCAAATATCACCACTTCAAGGGGAGGACAATCTGTTTCAAATTGGTTACTTTTCATGCTAAAAATACTAGTTTGTCAAACATATCTAATAGATCTCACTACAAAAGGGCTTTATGCCTTTTAAGCTTAAAAAAAAAATAGTCATGGAAAACTAAAGTGCACTGCATTCATGAAATGTGACATGCATCTTAACTTGAAACTGGCACAGCTGCCATCATAATTTACTGAATATACATAAAAGTTATTATGACTCATCTTATGACAAACGCAACATTATTTCCATCAAGACATAAACTTGTCATCAGTCATATAACTTAGTTGCAGCTTGCTTTGACATCAAACGAAGATGCATTCACTGTTGTGTATGATTTTTCATTTAGGAAAAAAGTTTGAAATGCTCCGATGGGCCTAAATTGCTCTTTACCGACAGAACTGACGACAATCGAGCTGGGACACAGTTCAGAAGAATCAACGACATCGATCGAGAAGAGGACTTAAACGATATTTTACCTTGCGTTCCTCGGAGAACTTCCTAGGATGTATCCGAATGGACGCAGGCTGGCAAAGAAAAGAAAATAAACGCCTTGGAAAAGTAAAAAAGGCACGTCTTTCCGAGTCCCCGGCTTCGGAGGCGATGCTGGTTTCAGTCCTCTCAGCAGAACCCGAACGCTGTGTGAAGCAGGAAACAATATTCGGTCACGCCTTTTTTTTCCCAGTAAATTGCCATATTTTCAAAATAAAAGTCTTGGACAAAATTTGCTTTTGTTCAGTAATTCAGTATGCCGAAGTGTGGTGGAAGAAGAGGAACGACATTTTTTTTAAAAGAAACTTTAAACTCCAAAAAGAGTTGCTTTTTTGTAGTAGTTTGTAGTAGTGGCATAATCTGGGACACTAAAACAAATGTTGCAGGACATTCTCAAATTTGGATGACCCAGATCAAAGGACTATTGCAGTCTTCAAGAAATGTGTTTACTCTGTCACTTTAAATGAAAAGCTTAGTTAAAGTTAAGTAAAGACAAATAATCTCTTTCTTAAAGACACTTCCTTAATGTGTGGTTGTAATTTAGAAACCACAAACTACACTTTTTATTCTATTTTAATTCTACTTTATCCATATTTATCTTATTTTTTTATTTTTATTAAAAAAAAACTAGCTTTCTATTTTTTCTATTCTATCTACTTGTTTTTCTTTGTATGTGTGTGTGTGTGTGTGTGCATATAATATGTATATGTGTATATGTATATATATATATATATACACCTTGCTACGTGTACTGCGTTAGGCTAACCGAGACTTGTCATTTGCACTTATATATTGTTGCTCTTTTGTTAGTTTTGACTGCTTTTATTGCCCTCATTTGTAAGTCGCTTTGGATAAAAGCGTCTGCTAAATGACTAAATAAATAAATAAATCATAATTAAGCTCTATCTGGCCTCGGTTAACTGCTAAAGTCCGGCATCACTGTATTTTGTATATAAAAACCGAATATTGAATAACTGAATAAAGTGATATGAATTTGCTCAAAGCTTTTTTTTTTTAAAAACAGCATGTCTTTTCTTTATGATGTCTGGCTTCACAAAAAGTAGCTATTTGCTTGGCTAATTAATGGATGAATGAATTGCGATTACTGTTTATTCAGCTCCATATCTACAACAAGCCTGTGTGACAGTGATGATATATTAGGTGAAATATGAATTATGATCATCATTAATGATGAACGGTACAAAGACAGGACAACAAAATTAAACAAATGAATGCTTTTATTTAGCAAACTCTTATTCACCAAAGAAATGTTAAATTGATAAAAGTGACAGCAAAGACAACATGTGACCCTGGAGCACAAAAGCAGTCTTAAGTCGCTGGGGTATATTTGTAGCAATAGCCAAAAATACATTGTATCGCTCAAAATGATTGATTTTTCTTTTATGCTAAATTCATTAGAATATTAAGTAAATATCATGTTTCATGACGATATTTTGTACATTTCCTACTGTAAATATATCAAAACTTAATTTTTGATTAGTAATATGCATTGCTAAGAACTTCATTTGGACAACTTTAAAGGTGATTTTCTCAGTATTTAGATTTTTTTGCACCCTCAGATTCCAGATTTTCAAATAGTTGTATATCGTTCCAAATATTATCCCATCCTAACAAACCATACACCAATGGAAAGCTTATTTATTCAGCTTTTAGATGATGTGTTTCTAAAACTGTACCCTTATGACTAGTTTTGGCCATATTACAAAGGAGCAGCACAACTGTTCTCAGCATTGATAATAAGAAAAAAATGTTTCTTGAGCTCCAAATCAGCATATTAGAAAGATTTCTGAAGGATCATGTGACACTGAAGACGGGAGTAATGCTGCTGAAAATTCAGCTTTGCCATCACATGAATAAATTATATTTTAAAATGTATTCAAATAGAAAACTGTTATCTTAAATTGCAACAATATTTCACAATATTACTGTTCTTTTGTACTGTACTTTTCATCGAACGAATGCAGCCTGGAGAAGAGATTCCTATCCAAAACATAAAAAAATCGTATCAGTGTGTTTTATAATCAATGTTCGATATTTCTTATAATTCCATTTTTTACTAAGTGTGCAAAATATTTTTTCTGCCCCAATTTGTGTCTTATTTTTATTTTAAATATAACCTATCCAAATATTATATAATATTATATTATATTAGCCCAGGAGGAGGCGTGGCTCTTTTTCCTCCTAAAGCGCGTTGGAGGCGGGTGTGAGAAAGGAGGAGGCGCGTGGTGTGAGAAAGGAGGAGGCGCGTGGTGTGAGAAAGGAGGAGGCGCGTGGTGTGATACGCGGCTCTGGTCTGAGTGCGCGTGTGTTGTCTGTGTGGAGGGGAAGCGCAACACACGTTGTGATATTCGCACTTCGAAACTGAGCTAGAACCAACTTTATTTTCCCTTCTTTCGCTTTCCTCGAGCGGAGGAGGACGTCCCGGAGTCTTTGTTTTAGGAGTAAGAAGGCAAATCCTCGGCTTTGAGGGAATAATGTCGGCGTCGGCAGCGAAAGTGAGCCGAAAGGAGCAGAACTCGAATCACGACGGAGCGGACGAGACCTCGGGTAAAGTAATGGCGGCCTCCTGCGCACCGCCATTTTCAGCAACTTACACTTATTGCGTTTAAAGCACGAAAATCAATTTTAACTAGCCGCTCGGCGTTTATTTGAACCTTTAAGCGAAGCCCGAGTTTGTGCCGGTTTAATCCAGCAGAAGTCGGTGTAATTTCAGTAAAGGGATGTCGCGCGCACCGGAGGCCATGTTTCCTCGCGCGGCGGCTTCATTGTGCCTCGCGCGGCGGCTTCATTGTGCCTCGCGCGGCGAACATTGCGCTCGCACGCCCTTTACGAAAACAACATTTCCCGGTCGTTTCCGCTATTTATGTGTTCAGCTGTGTATGTTTTTTAAACCAGTGTGGCTCGAGTGTTATTTGCGCGCTGAATTGCGCCCGTGTTGTGTGCTAATAGGCTAACTGGTTATTGTGTCTCCCCCGCCATCACGAGCCGTTCCCGCATGTGTCACCAAACCACGCCGCCGCTGCATCACAAATCACCCTAGAGGTGTTTAATGACCCTCAAGTGGGTCGAAATTACATTCTAATCCAATCTAATTTTTAATGCACGGCAGTAATGTGTAATTCATTGGTAGGAAGGTAAATCTGGCCCAACGCGTGGCCTCCTCCTCCGTTTAAACCTCGCGGCCTTGCGCAGCTACTGTTGAAACTGCACCGGATTGAGCTGGTCGTCTGGCGTTAACACCACGCTTTCACTTTTAACTTGTTTGTTGCTTTGAATAGGACGAGGCTGCGTAAAATAATGTTGTTTTGTTATATAGATTTAGGAAATAAGTCGTGTTTACATTGTACCAATGCATTGTTTGTTTAGTATGTAATAGTTGCACGTGTGTAGTTTGTGAAGTCATGCTTTTGTTAGTCTGTGTATTTAAGGATCGCATGCACGTGTAATTTTGTCCTGCAACTTTTCGCAGGATATTAACGGCATAGCGAATTAGCATTTGTGTTAATTTGACTATTTGTTGCATTTCAGAAAAAGAGCAGCAGGAGGCAATTGAACACATTGATGAAGTACAGAATGAAATCGACAGGTAAGTCTGCCAAGTTGCTGAAAGCATCATTTATACGTTTACATGCGCATTTTATTTATGAATTTGTATTTTTCCGCTTTTGTTGCGTTCCTCAGATTGAATGAGCAGGCAAGTGAGGAAATTTTAAAAGTTGAGCAGAAGTACAATAAGCTACGTCAGCCATTCTTCCAGAAGAGATCAGAACTCATAGCCAAAATTCCAAACTTCTGGGTCACAACATTCGTCAACCATCCACAAGGTGAGAAGATGCGTAAAAATATTGAGATTAGTTGATGTAAAATATGGTTTACGTCTGAAATGGGTTCATGTATTGTATTCTAAAGTTTTATTTTTGACTAATAGTCTCAGCCTTGCTCGGTGAAGAGGATGAAGAATCACTTCATTACCTGACCAGAGTGGAGGTCACAGAGTTTGAGGACATCAAATCAGGTTACAGAATAGATTTTGTAAGTACCCTTTTTCATCTGGGCGAGTCTGAGAGTAAGGCAGAGCTGTGACAAACCAATTGTCTGACCTGTAATTGTATCTTCTCTGCAGTACTTTGATGAAAATCCATACTTTGAAAACAAAGTCCTCTCTAAAGAGTTCCACTTGAACGAGAGTGGTGACCCGTCTTCAAAATCCACTGAAATGAAATGGAAGGCTGGAAAGGTGGGTTCACAATTCATGTTGTTGTGGTCTGTTTTGACTTGGTGCCATTTTCTATCGGGTGTCCGTTAACCGGTTATATATGATGCAGGACCTGACGAAGCGCACTGGACAGACACCGAACAAGGCAGGGAAGAAAAGGCAACATGAAGAGCCAGAGAGCTTCTTCACCTGGTTCACCGATCACTCCGACGCAGGGGCTGATGAACTCGGGGAGGTCATTAAAGATGACATCTGGCCCAACCCTCTGCAGTACTACCTGGTAAGAAATAATTTTGCATTGCTGCAGGTGTATATTAGTGTGAACAAGTCAGAATTTGTACTTATCTTTTTCTCTCTCTTCTCAGGTTCCGGATATGGATGATGAAGAGGGTGAAGGTGAGGAAGACGATGATGAGGAAGAGGAGGAGGGTTTGGAGGACATCGACGAAGAAGGGGACGAGGATGAGGGAGAGGAAGACGAAGAGGAGGATGAAGGAGAAGATGGTGAGGTGAGAATTATTTAAAGCTTTGGCTTTAATTTGAGGGCTAATTACACTTACTTTGTATTTTAATGGATGGCAGTTATTGTGGTTTATATGTAGACGTTGATTTAAAATGTATTTGTAAGAACTTCAGAAACTGGCACAGTTTGACCCTAAATGTATTTTTCTTCTCTTCTTTTTCAGGATGATGGTGAGGATGACTAAAGGCTGATAAGGACATATTCCAACACTCGTATCTGTTCTTTCCTTTTTGAAGTCATTCTCCAGCCATGGGAGCAAAAAGCTTTGTTTTTATTAATTTTATTTTATTTTTTTTGTGCTCTCTTCTGTTCTACTGAAGCCTCTCCTGTCCTGACCATGTCTAAACCCAGTTAATTCCCATTTTATTTTATTTTTTTTGTGCTCTATCTTCTGTTCTACTGAAGCCTCTCCTGTCCTGACCATGTCTAAACCCAGTTAATTCCCTGGACATACAGTTCCTGCATTGGAAAACTAGTGGCATCTCGTTGCTGAAGCCTCTTGCGTCATCTTTAGTTACAACCATCTCCAAAGACCAATACAAAATATTAACAATCTGCACGTCATCCTCTGTAGACTAAACTGAAGTAAATAGCAGTTTATATATTAAGTATATGAAATACATTTTTGTTTCTGTGAATGGTTGTGAGTTAGGGGTAATAATAAGCCATGGTGCAGTGATCTAATCATAGCGTACATACCTAGCCACTTTTTTCTTTGTCTTTTGTATATTTTCTTTAATGCAGAGGTGGGCCCCAAAGAGTTAACACTGTTTTTCCTATGTGATATATTGGACAAAAGGAAAGCACCAGCTAGCTCCTGTCACCTCTTGTAAATGTTTTGAGGTCAATATCAGGGTATGGCAGTTATTATTGTTGACAGTTCAATGGGGTCGGGTGGGGCAAGTGGGCATTTGACACATCAACATTTGGGTTTATGTTGATTGAATTTTCATTGTAATGTTTTACAGACACCCATGAGGTTTGAAACATTTTTAATAAAAACAAAACAAAAAAAGTCCTCTTGTAATTTTGAGCTTGGCTAATTAAATGATTATTTAAATGAGATAATAAAGCCTGTAGAATCTTAAAGAACTCCACAAGTGGTTTTTTCTCCAACTGTTTTCTTTATTGGAGATGTACACATGAACATGTACATGGTTTTTATACACTTATTTAAATGATTTGGTACATCTTAAAAAAAAAAAAGTGTAATTTTATAGTTTGTTTAGCTTCTTGTTGAATTGTATGTCATTAACAACTAAACTATCACTCTTTGAGGCATTGCAGACAGCTGGGTTATTACTACAATTCAGTCCCTTTTAACTCCTCCAAACAAGTTATGGCTTTTATAAGGTAACATTTTAACTGCTTGGAGCTCTAAAGAGTTTGTTTAAAAGGAGACTTTTTATTGCATTACACTGCTTTTGACCTAAAAACTCAATTTAAGTCATTTTGATTTATTGGACTATGGTCTTTTTCCCAGAGCAGTTTATTAAATGTCTTGCACCAAAATATCCCATTATATTTTCATTGAAGGGTATGGGGGGAATCTATGCCTATTTATTAAATTGATGCATGTTTTTTCAAGTTATTAATAATATGTACTTCTACAATTATAATTCTATCATTAATAAGATGGCTTAACATTCACAGGCCATGAACATGTAAATTTCATCAGTGAGTCACCATGTCACCTCAATAATTATTTTAATATTTTATCTTAAACCTAAATCACGAGTTATTAGTGGACACGTGAGAGAAAAAAAAGTGAAGTGATCAGTATATATAATATCAAAAAAGAACGGCGACACGTATTATATAGTGATGAATACAAAAAAAGTTTATATAAATCTTATATTAGGCTATTATGTATTTTTTCATGACAGTCATGTATTCATATATTTTGTTTCCTGTGCCAGTCAGTTTTATACGATGCTTTTGTATGTATGACTTCTGAAAACGTTCACTTCCTTTTTATGATAAAACATAATGGCATTTCACCAACTAGTGTTAGTTTTTTTTTAATGCCCAAAAGGCACCGAATTATAAGAATGAACCAGAAAAAATGTCCTTTTAAAATACAAACTGAAACTGCGGAAAGTAGGTTGACCAATCAGAAGCTAAGCAGACAGCCAATCATTGATTGGCTCACGGTATCCATGGCAGCGCCGTCACGGATGTCACGTCTAGGGTAATAATGGCGGAACGAACAACACTGTGTGCAGTGACCAAATACAATAAAATAGCGTGCAAAATTATCGATAAGAAGTGTTTTCCCATCATAGAAGCAGATATTGATTCGCCCAACATAAAACAGTTTGTAAATATGATGACTAACCAGAAAAATCGTGCTTTAAGAAAAAAATAATCGCTAGCTCAAAGCTAACTGTAACGTCTTGAGACAAAACAATTTATAGAGATATGAACATATACCTTATTTTTTCTGAGATAAAGTGTGAGACATTTTAAACATGTTCACGGATGAAACTCTTGATTTAATTGCTGCTGAATCGACATGGAGAAAGTCACATCAGCAAACACAAGAATCGGTAAAAAAAACCTTACTTACCTTCTCTAACCAGAATATTCATGCACTTGAAAAAACATCAGTCCTTTTGTGTGATGATGTATATTGTGTTTTATTCCCGCCCAGAGAAGCTGTCAAACTCTTCCAGTTCACACAGCAGAGGCTGAAACACAAGCCAAAGATGTGTTAGACAACAGCACCCAGACACAAGAGCAGATCAGTCAAACACTCTCTCTAGATCAAAACATATCTCACTTTCCTGGCTTGCTGGACTTCTTGCATAGAGCTGAAGACGTAGTTACCAAAGAACTGCTGAAGAACTCCAAGAGTCATGCTTTTGATGGGTTTGAAGTGAACTGGGAGGATCAGAATGAGTCGGTGAGAGCCTTGAATGCAAAATATATGAATAATTGTATTACAACTTGGTGATTTCTTTGCACAGGTGTCCTGCATGTACCGTCTTCAGCATGTTGATGCTCAGGAAAGGGGTCTGCAAGTCACCAGTGTGTCCTGGAACTGCACCGGCTCCGTCATAGGCTGTGGATTTGGCCGGTAACAGCCCTTTCCCCATACAGACACATAAAACCACCTGCTGGACTCGTAATGTTAATGTTGTTTTTTGGGGGGTTAGTGTGGATGATGGTGATTGGAGCAATGAGAAGGCTTATGTGTGCACGTGGAACCTGGACCGACAGAAGCTGAACCCAAAGCGGCCGGATGTGATCATAGACGTGGTCACTCCAGTCATGTGTCTGTGCTTCCATCCTCTGAAACCGTCTGTAGTGGCTGGTATGGACACACATTTACAAAATCAAATGCTTTACATTAAAAAATATATATATCTTAAAGAGTGAAACACACATACACGTCTAGGTTCATATTTTACCTCAAAATGGAAAATAAAAAAAAATTTATTGGACTATGGTCTTTTTCCCAGAGCAGTTTATTAAATGTCTTGCACCAAAATATCCCATTATATTTTCATTGAAGGGTATGGGGGGAATCTATGCCTATTTATTAAATTGATGCATGTTTTTTCAAGTTATTAATAATATGTACTTCTACAATTATAATTCTATCATTAATAAGATGGCTTAACATTCACAGGCCATGAACATGTAAATTTCATCAGTGAGTCACCATGTCACCTCAATAATTATTTTAATATTTTATCTTAAACCTAAATCACGAGTTATTAGTGGACACGTGAGAGAAAAAAAAGTGAAGTGATCAGTATATATAATATCAAAAAAGAACGGCGACACGTATTATATAGTGATGAATACAAAAAAAGTTTATATAAATCTTATATTAGGCTATTATGTATTTTTTCATGACAGTCATGTATTCATATATTTTGTTTCCTGTGCCAGTCAGTTTTATACGATGCTTTTGTATGTATGACTTCTGAAAACGTTCACTTCCTTTTTATGATAAAACATAATGGCATTTCACCAACTAGTATTAGTGTTTTTTTTAATGCCCAAAAGGCACCGAATTATAAGAATGAACCAGAAAAAATGTCCTTTTAAAATACAAACTGAAACTGCGGAAAGTAGGTTGACCAATCAGAAGCTAAGCAGACAGCCAATCATTGATTGGCTCACGGTATCCATGGCAGCGCCGTCACGGATGTCACGTCTAGGGTAATAATGGCGGAACGAACAACACTGTGTGCAGTGACCAAATACAATAAAATAGCTTGCAAAATTATCGATAAGAAGTGTTTTCCCATCACAGAAGCAGATATTGATTCGCCCAACATAAAACAGTTTGTAAATATGATGACTAACCAGAAAAATCGTGCTTTAAGAAAAAAATAATCGCTAGCTCAAAGCTAACTGTAACGTCTTGAGACAAAACAATTTATAGAGATATGAACATATACCTTATTTTTTCTGAGATAAAGTGTGAGACATTTTAAACATGTTCACGGATGAAACTCTTGATTTAATTGCTGCTGAATCGACATGGAGAAAGTCACATCAGCAAACACAAGAATCGGTAAAAAAAACCTTACTTACCTTCTCTAACCAGAATATTCATGCACTTGAAAAAACATCAGTCCTTTTGTGTGATGATGTATATTGTGTTTTATTCCCGCCCAGAGAAGCTGTCAAACTCTTCCAGTTCACACAGCAGAGGCTGAAACACAAGCCAAAGATGTGTTAGACAACAGCACCCAGACACAAGAGCAGATCAGTCAAACACTCTCTCTAGATCAAAACATATCTCACTTTCCTGGCTTGCTGGACTTCTTGCATAGAGCTGAAGACGTAGTTACCAAAGAACTGCTGAAGAACTCCAAGAGTCATGCTTTTGATGGGTTTGAAGTGAACTGGGAGGATCAGAATGAGTCGGTGAGAGCCTTGAATGCAAAATATATGAATAATTGTATTACAACTTGGTGATTTCTTTGCACAGGTGTCCTGCATGTACCGTCTTCAGCATGTTGATGCTCAGGAAAGGGGTCTGCAAGTCACCAGTGTGTCCTGGAACTGCACCGGCTCCGTCATAGGCTGTGGATTTGGCCGGTAACAGCCCTTTCCCCATACAGACACATAAAACCACCTGCTGGACTCGTAATGTTAATGTTGTTTTTGGGGGGTTAGTGTGGATGATGGTGATTGGAGCAATGAGAAGGCTTATGTGTGCACGTGGAACCTGGACCGACAGAAGCTGAACCCAAAGCGGCCGGATGTGATCATAGACGTGGTCACTCCAGTCATGTGTCTGTGCTTCCATCCTCTGAAACCGTCTGTAGTGGCTGGTATGGACACACATTTACAAAATCAAATGCTTTACATTAAAAAAAAATATATCTTAA